GGGAAGGGTAACAACCTGCCATTACTGATTTATATTTTTCTGGTCACTGATAAATATCTTTGTGGTGTTTCTGTTCTTTTTTTTTTTTTTTTTTTGGCAGAGGGGGTGGGTGGTAGCAGAAGAGTATAAAGATGTGTCTGTTGTAGATAAAAAGCATGAGTTCTTGATGTCCCAAAGGAAGCCAGAGCAAGTCTTCTAGGCTCAAATATCTTACCACAATGGTTCTCAAGCTGTAACCTGCATCAGAATCTCCTGGAGGGCTTGTTAAAACACAGATTTCTGGACTCCACCTCCAGAGTTTCTGATTCAGTAGGTCTAGGGTGAGGCCCCAAGAGTCTGCATTTCCACCAAGTCCCCAGCTGATGCTGACACTACAACTCCAGAGACCAGGCATTGAGAATCACTGAACACTAGTTCAGCTACTATATATTGAACACCTACAGTGTGCCAGACCCTGTGCTGGGGACGCCAAGATGGGCGAGACTCAGCTCATGCCCATGAGGAGCACATTGTCAAAGTGGAGCAACAAACAAACATATACATTAATTTGTTTATTCATTGAGCACTGCTAAGAGAATACAGCATCAACGTTCTTTCTTTGGGCCTCAGTTTCCCTCCCCACATCCCAGGCATCTGGTAGTACCATCCTAGTGCTCTTTTCAACACTAGCTCTTCCCTTCTCTGATTTGGAGAGCTGTTCCCAGAAGGTCACAGTTGAAAGAAAAAGAACCTTGGTTTCTTCAGGGGTGGGTAGAGAAGCCTGAGGCTAGTTTCTTTTTATTAACATGTCAATGCAGCTCCCTTCTGGGCCAGGAAAGCCTGAGGAAGGATCCAGAAGGGCCTGGACACAGGTCAGCAGCACTTTGATGTGGAAGGCAGAGAGGGTACCTCAGAAATTACTCCCTCACCCAATCTCTAACCCCCAAATCCTTATCTCTTTATGCCCAGATGTCACCATTAATTTAAGGCTTAGCTTAGATGCCACCATTTCTATGAGCCTTTCTCAACCCTCTACCCTCCACTGTCCCCACTGAGACCCCATCTTTGAACAGTTATAGCATTTTATTTTTGTCTCCTCTGTGGCAGCTGCTTCTTCCTGCCTCTTAGAATAGTCCAGTCTTACCTCGCTGGCTGGCTGTGAATTCCATCTTTTCTCAGAATTCTCCATCATACATGGCCCTGTGCCTGACACAGCATTCAATACACGTCAGAGAATTAAAGAATGAATAAACAGAGAGTTCACGGTACAGAAATCACTTCAATCCCCAAACCCACAATGTGAAGGAAAAGAACGCAGAAGGAAAGTTTGGATAGAAAGAGATAGGAAATGGAGCAGGCCAGTTGGCCGGTCCAGAATTCAGCTGGAGGCTGAATTGAAATGATTCCAGGCCTTGCCAGGGATGATGATTAGCTACTAGAGGATCGCAGGAGCTCCAAGATTCACTCACTCTTTCATTCATTTATTTACTTAGTTTTCCCTTTGTTCTTTAGTAATCCTAGAGTGGCCAGGCTCCCTTGGGCAGCATCTGCTCTTATCCTGAGCCCTCCTTGAAACAGAACTTAGCATTTGATGTGTTCCTCAAAACAGATCCACAATGCACTAACAGAAGAAATAAGTTACTGAAGATTTTGTTGGAGGAAAGGGAGAGGGGATTGACTTCACACACCATAAAGCAAAAATTTCTTAAATTGCTCACTGAATATTTTGGTTCCCTTCAGAATCCTCTTCCAGTCAGCCCCCTCACCTCTCCCTTTTGTCTTCCCCAAACAGCCTCTAAAACCTTGTTTGCTGCCCCAAGTACTTCAGATCTTCTCAAATGCAATACTTCACTCTGCAAAAAGGAAGCGTAAGAGTTAGCCAACCACAATCACCTGTGGCTCTCCTGAGCAAGCCCCTTGGGGGCCCCAGAGCATCTGTCTCTCACGTTCAGTCTACACAAATCTATGAGCTCTTATTAGCCAGCCTCTAAGCTGCTCCCCCTCAATGATCATGCCCTTATGTAATCCCCTCCCAAAAAGAATTAGAGCTGGCTATGTGACAAATAGAATCCAGTGGTAGTAGACTGTGTAACTTCTGGACCTAGATCAAAATGGCCTCAAAACTTCCACTTGATTCTTTTGGAACACCTGCTCCTGGAGTCTTGAACCGCAATGTAAGATGTCCAACTATCCTGAGGCCACATGCTGGAAATATCACAGGAAAAGTCTCATAGAGAGGCCTTGAGACTACATGAAGAGTGAGATCCCAGTCAGCCCTCGGCTGTTCCAGCCCCAGCCATTTGAGTCAGTCCAGCTGAGGCCCCAGATACGCAGAGAACAGAGACAAGTCATCCCCTCAAGCTCTGCCCAAATTACAGATTCCTGAGAAATTTCTGTTGCTTTAAGCCACTAAATCTGTAGATAGTTTGTTATATAGCAACAGATAACAAGAATATCCTCCTCCTTAACAGCCAGCTCACTGGGCACTGGGAAAGCCAGGAAGACACCATCTCTCGAGGCTATTGACACAGGATACACCTTGGGAGATCCTCCTGCTGTCCCCTGAATACCAAGTCAGCTCCAGGGGCCCAGACTGAAGACAGCCCTATTTGCCTGCTTGTCATAACCCTCTTTGCCCCATCACCCCTCCCCAAACTTCCACTCTAGTCCTGTGGCAAGTCAAACTCCCTGCTTAGAATCCCCAGTGGGTTCCACAGCTCTCAGAATAAAATCCAGACTCCTTACAGTGGCCTAAAAGGCTTTGCACGATTTAGTCCCCGCCTCAGTCTCTAACCTCATCACAAGTACTCCATGTTTTCTCACTCACCACATTGGCTTTCTTCAGTTCCTCCAACAAACCACACTCTCTTCCACCACAGGGCCTTTGCCCACACTGTTCCCGCACCTGACTGCCCTTCTACACTGTCCCCAGGGCTGGCTCTTTCTCTCATCTTATTGGTCTCTCTCAGCTTAAATGACACCTCCTTCAGAGAAGTTTTTTCTGAGTCTCCATCTAAACAAGTCTCTCAGTATCTCAGTCCTCATTATTGTTATAGCACTTATCGTAGCTCAAAACACATTTTAAAAGTCTACCTATCATCTTACCTGCTTTTCGTCAATCAGCCCCACTAGAATGTAAGCTCCAAGAGGTCAGGGACTGTACCCATCTTGTTGGCAGCACCCAGGAGCATGCCTCACTCATAGTAGGTGCTTAATAAACATTTATTGAACGTTAATGCCAAGAACTATTCTTGCACACGCACACACGGAAGAACAGAACATTCTTGCCAAGATCCCCCCTGCTTGTAAAGTCATGTTGCTGTCAAAAACTATAAATACAGTAGGTTGGATTCCTAGATACTACTAAGTCTAAGAGAAAAAGATTTTTCTAGTTCTTATAAAACCATTATTAATTTTTTAAACTTTTTATTATAGACAATTTCAAGTATTCACAAAAATAAAGAGAATAGTACAATGAAGCCATGCAAACCCATCACCAGCTTCACCAACTATCAGCTCAGACCAGTCTTGTTTCATTTATTCTATCACCCACTACCCCCCATATTATTTTGAAGCAAATCCCAGACATCATATCATTTCATCTGTAAATATTTCAGTATGTATCTGAATAAATGCTCTTTTTTAAGGAACAAACATAGTCACAATAACTTGATCACATCTAAAAGAAATAATAAAAGTTCCTTAATATCATAAAATATCCAGTCAGTGTTCAAATTTCCAATTGTCTCATAAATGTCATAAATAATGTAGTTGTCTCTCTCGGGCTCTCTTTTTCTTCTTTCCAGTTTGTTTAAATCAAGATCCAAATAATGCCCATGCATACGATTGGTGGACGTGTCTTTTAAGTCTCTTTAATCTTTAGAGTCTCCTTCTATCTCTGTCTCTCTCTTTCTTTTTTTCTTTTTCTTGTTGCAATTTATTTGTTGAAGAAACCAGTTTGGTTGGCTGTCCTGTAGAGTTTCCTACTGTATTAGTCTGCTTGGGCTGCCATAACCAAATACCTCAGACTAGATGACTTAAACAACAGGCATTTATTTTCTCACTGTTTTGGAGGCTCCAAGTCCAAGATCAGGTGCCAGCAGGTTGGTTTCTGGTAAGGCATCTCTTCCTGACTTGTCGACAGCCACCTTCTCACTGTGTCATCAGATGGCCTTTTGTCTGTGTGCGTGCAGGAAAAGAGAGAGAGATCTCTGGTGTCTCTTCCTCTTCTTATAAGGACACCAGTCCTATTGGATTAGGGCCCCTCCTTTATGATCTCATTTAACCCCAATTACTCCCTTTCAGGGCCTATCTCCAAACACAGTTACATTTAGGGTTAGGGCTTCAATATACGAATTTGGGGGTGGTGGGAGGAACACAGTCAGTTCATAACACCTATAGTCTAGATTTGGTTGATTGCATCTGCAGGGTGTCATTTACCATGTTCTTACATTCTCTGTATTTTCTGCATCTTGATAGTTGGATCCAGAGACTTAATCAGATTAAGATTTAAGTTTTTGATAAGATATTTCATAGTAGGACTGTATACCTCCATCTATAGTAGTTGTTTATATAAATGAATCCAGTATTCATTAATAGGCTTATAGTTTCATTATCCAAAAATAGAATCCAATTCCACAAGGTAGTCAAAATACAGAGTATATTTTCTTATATAACCCTATCAAATTTTTCTAAGATGAAATCATAAAACTCAATAATGAGAGCTAATATTTAATGACCACCACACGCCAGACACCTTGTATTTATTCTTCAAAACAATCTTGTCATGCAGGAATATTGTTTCCTAATTTTACCAATGGAGA